ATTTAAAGTTAATTTTCAAAATTTCAAAATGTAAAATCTGCTTTTTTATCAGCCGAAGTATCTGAGGTGACGTTACCGTACTTAAATTTCTATTGAAAGCTTTGTAGTTAATATTGTTTTTAAACAAATTTTGAACGCAAAGAAAACATGAATTTTAGCCTTAGCCTTTCTTGCAAATCTATGTCGTGCTATAACCTTGCTTACTTTGGAATTTATATTTATGCAATATGGAAATATTTTGCGCTTTAAAGCGCAGAATGTGGCGTGCCTTCCGTGATGTACTTATTAAAGTGCAAAGTGTTAATTCTGTAATAGGAAACGAATTTCGTATCGATATTTGAAACATCGAGTCTTTTTATTACGATATTAATGGGTAGCCGATATTTTTTCAGCGATACTTTAAATGAGTACTATATCGATACTTTCAGTTCGATATCGTGTATCTACTTGTTATCACATAGTGTTTAGCGTTTTGGCCCTTAAAATTAAAAAAAAAATAAATAAATAAAATCATGTGGAGCTAAATTATAACTACATACTCAAAAATGCGAATATGTGGTAGATTTCAGACCTTTTGTGGTAGATGTAGTGGATGGTCCAAAAATTGGTAGATCTACCACAATGTGGTAGAAGTCCGATCACTGCAAATGGCACTTAATTTTTCAATTTGGCACAAAGTGCCAAAATGGCACTTTTGTAAAAAAAAATAACATTTCAATTCAGTTTTGTGAAATCCATTGCGTGCACTTCTTTTTTTCAACTAAAATTTTCTAATTTGTAAAGGCTATTCAACTGGTTTATCTTATTTTATCATTGCACTTCTGTTTTGAAAATGTGGCTTTATTTTATTGCCAAATGTGAATGATTAAAAGGCCAAAAAAAATGACACCTTTCTTGGCACTTTTATTTTTCTATTTGGCACATTTTGGCACTTTTTTTTTACTTTATATGGCAACGCATAACTAAGGATGGGTGGGGTTTAGTAGCGCTCACAACTGTTTCGGGCTATTCCGTTCAAAGGGGTGGTCCGATCCAAAAAAAATTCCACACACTTGTAGTCAAGGGTCTACGCATTATTTTAACACTCACTTTTGTGAATTTTGGTCACTAATTTATTTACAAATTGGGTTTGAAATATGCCCTTTTTGTAAAATTCGGAAATTAGCGTACATTTATCACTCCTATTTTCCTTAAAGCAGCCACTTAACCAATACATTTTTGTATTCCCCTTCACTTTACACTTTACTCGATTAGTTATAACTTGCTTTACGACTTTAATATTAACCAATTAATCACAATTCATTAAATAAAAACACCTTCAAAATCACGCGTCTGACTTTGGTTGCATATGCAAGTTAAATGGCGGAGTTCAGTTGTCAAACTCCAAAATATGCAAAAGAATGAGAGACAAAAGAAGACAGGATATAACCCAGTAAGCATTAAAACTATACAAAGCTGTTCTCTGAAAAGGTGTTCAGCTCCTTTTCTTCGCAAAACAGAAAGGAGAATTCTACTGCCTGAGGGTTATGATCCCTAAGTGCGGCCGAAAGCCGCCTACGCAGAAAGGTGTTCTCTGCAAAAGGTGTTCAGCCCCCCTTCTTTGGCAACACAGAAAGGAGAATTCTACTGCCTGAGGGTTATAATCCCTAAGTCCCCTTTCAGACACGTCAAGTCTTGAAAGCATTTTTTTTCGCATTCTCTTTTGTGTTTTCTATTTGCTTCCACATGCGTCAACTTTAATTGAATTCAAGTCCTTGGTTCTTAAATGGGAAGCAACGAAAAGATCAAAAGAGACAAGAAACTTGAAACGAATTGACGGTACGGAGGTATCTGTACTCTTCCCCTCTCTTCCCACCTCCTTCGCCAACGAACGAGCAGACTTGAAAGCAAGACTTGACGTCTCTGAAAGGGGACTACGTGCGGCCGAAGGCCGCCTACGCAGAAAGGTGTTATCTGTAAAAGGTGTTCAGCCCCCTTCTTTGGCAACACAGAAAGAAGAATTCTACTGCCTGAGGATTATAACCCCTAAGTGCGGCCGAAGGCTGCCTACGCAAAAAGGAGTTCTACGCAAAAATACATTTGTTAAAAAGAACATTTTTTTTATGAAAACTTGTTTTTTCTACTTTTAATTAACTTTTTTATTCTTTATTCAAATCGCCCGATATCTAATTTGGCATAATTTCTTTTATCAAAAAATCCCACGGTTTCTGTTAGTTGGGTCCTATTCCACTTCAAACTGCTCAGTTTGCCTAAGAAAATTCCGTTTTTCCCCCTTATTCAAACGGTTGCCTAGGGGCCTGCGGGAGGAGCCCAAGGGGGGCCTTCGCCTTTTTAGAAAGCGGGGACTGTCCTCTTTCTAGTGAGGGGAGTTTGAGGGGCCCGCCCCTTCCCCCTCCGCGCCCCACCCCAAAAACGATGTGAGCGCTACTAAACATTTCCCCTAAGGATAGTTGGCAGCCCTGATTGGAAGATTTCGCTGTGTTTTGGGGCAACAACTTGTCTGCAGTAAAAAGGCATATAATTTGTGTTTCAAAAGTGTGTGAAAACCAATCAATTAACTTATATGATCTCGGTTCCGATATTAAATAACCAATAATTGTTTATACCCGCATTTTGGCACATTGGCTCGTTGAATGTGCCATCTAACAAATAGTGTCGTCGTTCTCCTTAGCTGCTTTTAAATGATGTCATCACAAATTGCTAGCGGAGGCATGAATACAGTGTAAGAAAATTCTTTTCCTATAATTGTTTCCTTATAGAAGGTTGGTTTCTTTTCCACCTTAGATATTCCGAATTCGTTCAAAATATGTTCCTCCGGGGTTTTTGGACATGGACTGTTTCTTCAATTTAATAGTGTTCTCTTTATTTTTGTGGAAACGAAACATGTTTTGCAAGTTATGGATCATTTCTAAAGGGTGAACACACCAAAACTGCGACACTTAGAAATTACTACCAGAAACAAACTAGAAGGCTTTGCAATTATTTTTTTTTTGTATTATATAACTTGGAAGTTTAGATGTTATTAAAATGTTAAAATATTAGTTATTATTTGCTCCATATGCAAGTGATTGGTATTTTCATCGCACACGCGCCATCATGTTCTGCACGACTGCATCATCGACATTAGGCGATGCGCACAACTACTTTGTTTTGCACTCTTCAATAATTTTCACTCTTTCACCTGTTTTCTTCAAGATTCCTTTGACAATTGACCAATATTCCCCAATAGGACGTGGCTCTGGGCTATTGGGTGGATTGCAGTTGTGAGGTACAAAATTGATGTTGCATTATACCACGGCAATGTGTCCTTGGCATAGTGGCAGGTTGCCATGTCTGCCTAGAACGATGGCCTACTCCTTATCTGTTGATAAATGACAGAAGACGCCTTTTGAGGCACTCATCCCGATAAACTTGATCATTCATTGTCCCGGATGGGAAAAAGTGCAGCTCTTACGGCCGCAGGAACAAATAGCTTGCCAAACCATGTGGTTTTTGGAAATTTGGACTTCATTTTCAGCTTACAACTTTCAGGGGCATCTTGACGACTTGCAGCAGTATAAAAATCTTGACCTGCAATATATTTTGAATTCTTATAGCAGTAGGTTTCGCAGTCCATAACAATGCAGTTGTATTTTTTAATTTAGAATTCATACAACTTCCGAATGCGGGATTTCGCTGTAACATTCTACTTTGCGCCTCTGTCTGGCGCTGTTTGAGCTGTATAACATCTCAATGAAGCTTTCCGCTTTACCTTTTATACGAAAAACTGCATTCTCCGTACGGATTTTGCAACATAACGCGACAAAATCTTCGGATCTCGCGAAAACGCACTGAGGACCTTCCGAGCACTGTTTTTATCACTTTGACCATGCTAACCCCCGCTCCCTGGTTTTCTCGTAAATGTCAGGCCTTATTTGTACCGATTAAAACCCTGCAAACTGTCGAATAGTGCACTCTTTAATTTTTTAGCAATTTTACGTGTACTTATGGCCGGATCATTTATAAACTCGTGCAAAATGTTTTGTCTCGTTTCTAGCTCGGTTGCCATTTTTAACTCAACTAGGAATCAAATTCAAATGAAATTTCTTCTACGTTCATCTAAGGTCAACTTATGGTATTTGAATTTCAAAATATTGAAATCGTTTTGGGTAAGTTATAAGCTTCCCAAAGTGTCGCAGTTTTGGTGTGTTCACCCTTTACACTCTTTCTTCAAATATTTCTCGTATTCCAGCTGTGCGCAGGCGTTTAGTTTTTCGCATCGTGTTTTTACATACTCGTAATTTAAATTTTTTAATAAAATCAATTGGTGGTAGTTCATGATTGTGTGTGGATTAATATCACAACACTGAGGAATTGGCAATAACCTTTTTCATCTATTAAAAAACAACACTTACGGGGCAATGTATATTGTAAGAACAAGATTTTTCTTTGAATCGACATACTTTAAGCATTGTTGACGCTATTTCCATTTGAATGAGGAAATAGCGTCAATGACTTTATTTCCAAATTTTTGTTGACTTTATTTCGCTTTTGAAAAGGTTATAATGTCAACTGACTTTATTTCGCACCAGGGTGGGAAATAAAGTCAATTGACCTTATTTCCATTGACCTTATTACCTGTCACCAAACGGAACTATACTGAACATATTTTCATGTTGTTTCGTGACTTTTTTTGTACCATCGTTTTACTTATCTTTATTCTTAATTATTTTTAGACACTGAAGAATATTTATAAAGGACTACACGTTTTCCCCTTTTTTTAACAGGATTTCTGGCAATGCTGCGAGTAATAAAAATATTCATGGCACCGTCTCTGAGCAACTTAAGAAGAACTTCGCCAAATCACGTTGGAAAGTGAGTATAAGTATATCATTTTAAGTAAAATAAGTAAAGAAGTCTAAGTTTGGGCGATGCCGAATGCTAAATACCCGGCGCACAGTGCCGCCTAATTGGGCAAAAATCTAAAAATTCGTTGTCTGCAATGTGAAGGTTTGGTACTTTTGTAAAAGTAATTTATCCACTAAACAGAATTAAGCAGAAATTTCGCTATTAAGTAAGTTATATACCGCCAGGAAGCCACTAAAGTTACGAATATTAAATTAAATATTAAAATTTAACCAAAATAGGAAATACAAAGCTTCACAAGCACGAACAATTTTACAAAATGGCAATACCGCTTAACAATATTTGTATATTTGTCACTGCTTTTTTATGGTTCGAAAATAAAAAATGAAAGCTAACAAATACTAGCACGCTCCTTTGCACGCTCTGCCACTTCTCCTTCTTTATTGGCGCTGTAACCAATTTTGGCCGAGTCCAAAGCAGCCCGCCAGTCACTTCTCTTCTGCGCCAACTGACGCCAATTGGAAATGCCAAGTGAAGCCAAGTCCGTCTCCACCTGGTCTTTCCGGCGCAGAGGAGGCCTTCCTCTTCTCCTGTTACCAACATCGCGGCCCGCGTTGAATACTTTCAAAACAGGAGCGTTTCTGTCCTTTGGAACGACATGGCCAGCGGAATTTTAATTCGCTGCACTATGTCTATATCGTTGTAAAGCTCATACAGCTCATCGTTAAATCGTCTGCTGTATTCGCCATCGCCAACGGGTAAAGGTCCGTAAATCTTTCGCAGAATCTTTTTCTCGCAATGTCCAACATCCGCTCATCAGATGTTTTCATTGCCATTCCTCCGAGCCATACAGGCATGATGAGTGACTTATAGAGTGTGATCTTTGTACGACGAGAGAGGACTTTACTTCTCAATTGCCTACTCAGTCCAAATAAGCACTTGTTAGCAAGTGTGATTCTCCGTTGGATTTCTGACATTATTATTGCTGTTAATTCTGGTTCGCAAATAAACGAAATCAAACTTGTAACTGTCAACAGTGACGTGGGTGCCAAGACGCGTATGCTGCGACTGTTTGTGTGGCAACAGGATTAACTTCGTTAACCACGGAATGATTCGTTTAGTTCAAAACTAATTTTGCATTGCTTCAAAAATAGAGGTCGAAAGTGTGTTGACACTCGAGAGGGAACATTAAAATCTACCTCAGCGAGAAGGGCCGGGCTATTAATCAAGCCTGTCATTAATTTTACCATAAATATTATACCTAGCATTTCTCTACGACTTGCGTGTGTAGGCAAATTTATGAGCTTTAGACGACTAGTGAAAGGGGGGGGAGATTGTAGTCTGAATCCCAGTTAAAATCGCGCAACGCAAAAAGCAAGAATTGTTTTTGAATTGATTCAATCCTTTCTGAATGAACTTGGTAGCGGGGATTCCCAACAATAGACCCGTATTCTAGTATAGGTCTAACTAAAGTGGTAAAAAGAGCTTTTGTAACTTAAGGATCTTTGAACTCTTTTGACCATCGCTTTACAAATGCAGAAACACCTTTGGGTTTATTGGCTGTAACATTAATATCATGGTTGAAATTGAGTTTGGAATCCATTGTGATACCAACAGCGACAAAATTGGATACGTATGCGAAAAATAGACCCGCTATTTGGCGCTGCACAGTGGTCAATAAATGGGATTTAATGTTCATAATTCACTGGAGCCTTCATGTCTCAACCGATTTGATTAATTATTTTTT